CTGTTAAGAAAAAGACAAAAACTGGGAGAAAATATTTGTAAAATACATATCTGATTAAGGACTTGTTATATAAAGAATTACAGAATTCTTACAGTATTAAAAAGGTAAACCTGAACACTTTACCCAAGTATAGAGATGACAAAACAAAACCCATGAAAGGATACTCAACATCATTAATTATTAGAGAAATGCAAATTGTTGGCTCACGCCTATAATCCCAGCACCTTGGGAGGCCAAGGAGGGCGGATCACCTGAGGTTAGGAGTTTGAGACCAGCAGTTTGAGACCAGCCTGACCAACATGGAGAAACCCCCATCTCCATTACAAAATTAACCAGGTGTGGTGGCATATGCCTGTAATCTCAGCTACTTGGAAGTCGGGGGGGTGAAGGGGGGAGGGCGGGGGCAGGGGCAGTGTTGAGGCAGAAGAATCGCTTGAACCTGGGAGGTGGAGGTTGCAGTGAGCCGAGATTGCGCCATTACACTCCAGCCTGGGCAACAGAGGGAAACTCTGTCTCAAAAAAAAAAAAAAAAAAAAGTGAGAGAGAGTGAAAAGCAAATTAAAACAAGATATATTTCTACACACCTACCAAGAAGGCTACAATTAGGAAGACTCACTACACCAAATGCTGATGAGAATGTGGAGCAACTGAAACTCTAGTATACTGGTGGTGGGAATGCAGTATGGTACAAGTATTTTGGAAGACAGCCTAAAAGTTGCTTATAAAGTTAAACGTACTTATCATACAACTCAGGAATCCTACAGTAGATACCTACTGAAGAAATGAAGATTTAAAAGTGTTCCACCCTAGTTGTTTTTTTTCCAAAATGCACTTGAAGTTTCACTCGTTACATCTTCCCTGTGAGCCATCAGGAGTGTTTAAAAAAAAAAATTCTTTAATCTCCTTCAAGTACTTGGGGAAGCCCACCTATCCTAAACCTGAAGCAACATTAAATTACAACTAAAAAAATTACACACCATCTAGAACAATTTTCCAAACCTCAAGCTGAGACTCAGTAGTGCATATTCTACTGTTTCAATACCAACAGTTTTAGGAACATGAAAAAGAACAGAATGCATCCCATCTAGTAAGCCTCAATTTACATCTAGAGAATCCTTTGTTTTCGTTGTGTATATCACAGGTTGCCACATAAATGTATTTTTATCATGGATCATTTTAAAAACAGTTTAAAAACACTGATCTACAGCATATCTGTAACATAAGCTCTATGCTACCAGAAGCTTCTAAACCTTCTAAGCACTTCTAACTTGATTCATCCTATTTTAGGAAGCAATGAAACTCACAGTAGAGCTATCATAGTGTCTATAGTTGTTATGATTGTTAATATGCCTTTGGTATCTTGTCTTAAGGAATTATCAGCATACTCTGTTTGTTACAATTGACAGTGGTTTTTCAATACTAAAAATCATACATTTTTCAGCTTTCATTGAAATTTCAAGACTAAAGAAACAAAATACTAATATTCCACTAACTTTTCCCCAATAGCTAAAAAAAGGAGGCAAAAGTCAGAAGTTACTAATTTTGTATAATATACTGTAACTTGGTAACACATTATGAAGAACCTGGTAATCTAGAATGTAGATGTATTCAAGATGCACTATAGAGTAATCTACATGCAAAATTATCCATTTCAAAACATACTGACTCTAAGGTTACTTAAAGGACATTGACTTCATAAAAAGAAGAGATTTCAATCTCCACTAAAAAATTGTCACTGGCTGCCTAATCATAATTTACATTATAATAGATAACTCCCTTGAAAAGTACCTTAAAATTAATTTTTTATCAATTACTATCTTTTAATTTAGAAGGGTTAGAAAGTTGTAGGAGTCTGTTCAAAAGGAAAGAAATATGAGTAGAAACAATGTATTGAAATAATACTTTCTTTTATTAACAATGTTTATCCTTACAAAACTGTATATACATGGGAAAATAAAATATGTGTGGCTAATAAATCACTGATTTCCAAAAGCACTACTCTACACTTAGTATAAAGTAATTTGAGAAACTATTACATTTAAACATTTAAACCTACAGATCTCTCTGACTCCGGACTTTGATAATTATTCTTCAAAACAAAAATTCCAGGAGGCTGAGGTGGGAGAATGGCCTTAAGCCCAGGAGGTGGGGGCTGCAGTGAGCCATGATGGTGCCAGTGTACTATAGCCTGGGGGACAGAGCAAGACCCTGCCTCACCCTGTCCCCCCACCCCACCTCCCTTGGAAAAAAAGAATCCTACATTGAAATTTAGATCAGGCTCACAAAGATTAAAATCCCTGTCCTATCCTCTAAATCCATGCTAGTCTAAAACAACACTCAATTGGCCCAGGTGAATCTTGTGAAATTGGGAGCTGTAAGTAAACACATCTTTTTGTCCTAAATAATATATGGGAAAGTATTCACCTTCATTCCCACAACATAATAGGAAGTTTTCTGAAGCATAATTTTCTTTGATGGGAAGAAAGGAAGTAATCAATCAGTTTAAGTAAAATCAATTACAAAGTTTGAATACTACTATTGAAAGGGCACATGCTATGATGTAATAACTGGAAACGCAAATCTACAAGAAAAATTATCAATTTGTCCTATCCTAATTTTACTATTTAACAGTAATTCACTGCTAAAAATTTGAAGAAATACAAATAATAAAATTGCATCAGAAAAATACTCTATAACCCTACGACCATCATAATGTTTAAATACTGAAGTCCTAAAAAAGAATCTTCTTTCCATAGGAAAATCCTAACTCGGAATTTGACTTTTAAAAGGAAGGCTTTATGAGAGTACTACCTTTTTTTTTTTTTTGAGACAGAATCTCCCTCTGTCACCCAGGCTGGAGTGCATTGCTGTGATCTTGGCTCACTGCAACTTCAGCCTCCATGGCTCAAGTGATTCTCCTGCCTCAGCCTCCCAAAGAGGTGGGACTACAGGCACATGCCACCACGCCAGGATAATTTTTGCATTTTTAGCAGAGACGGGGTTTCAGCATATTGGCCAGGCTGGTCTTGAACTCCTGACCTCAAGTGATCCACCTGCCTTGGCCTTTCTAAGTGCTAGGATAGGATTGGGCCAGGCGCAGTGGCTCATGCCTGTAATCCCAGCAGTGGCGAACGTCCATCTGAAGAAGAAACCCTGAGTACACACTATGGCACTTCATAATGTTAAATACTACATAATAATTTAAAAGACAGAATGAATCTATTTAACATCTCCAAAATGTGAAGAAGTGAAAACAATATTTACAACATGACACCATGTATTCAGGTGTTTCTCTCGCTCACACACACACACCCTAGCATTTGTACTTGTACTTATGTGCTTGTTACAATGCAAAGAAAATGGTCTGGAAGAATATTCAGAAAACAGAAAATATTTCTATGGGTGTCGGAGTGAAATTAAATGGGAGGGATCAAAGGGATTTTTGCTTCATTTTTGAGCTTTTACAAACAAAATGTATTCGTATGTTACTTGAGACACTAAAAAGCAAGAATTAAAAAACTGCATGCTAACTTTCTTTAAATAATTTACAAACCAGAACTGGTGGCTGTAATGAGATTTCATTTTCTTCTATTTACTCGAAACCAAAAACAAATGACAGCAACAAACACTTTTTACCCACCAAATGGCAAAACTGGAAAGAAAAATTTTTATTTGCAGTTTGCCGTATCTCCAAATAAAAAGAGTAAGAATATACAGGAAGAAACAGAAAAGACCTTTTACTAAGTACGTCCATTTTTAAGACACCAAACTTTTTCGTTGACTCGGGCGTGACCCAGAATCCTCAAAAACAAAAAAGACATGTTATGCAAAACGAAAAAAAGTGGAATACTGCTCCCTCAAGTACTGAAGGTTGTTTTTAGAAAGCTTAACTAAGAAACTGTAAATGCCAAGTGTGTTTTCCAGGGGTGGGAAGAGGAACGTGAAACCCAACACCACCTTTAAGCGGTCAAAACGAACTGAAGAGCAGAGTGGAACTGGGAGAGCGCGCGGGGGTGGGGAGAGCTCAGCTATCACTTTCAGGTTTTGGCTCAGCGCCGCAAAAACAGTTTACACGGATTCTGTGTGAAACGTGAAGTCCCTAAGGGTGGTCAACGCGTCGCAGCCGACACCTAAACCCCCTGGAGATTAAAGGCGAAGGGGAGCAAACAACTTAGGTTCTTCGGCTGAGCGGGGAAAGCGCTCTGGAAAAGAGCAAAAGAGCCAACTTTTGCTCTAAACGCCGCAAGCTCCTGGAGGTTCCGCAAGTCTCCGGAGTCCCAACCCTTTAGCGACCCCAAAACCTCTGCCCACGGCCCAGCCCTCCGAGGAAAACCCAGCAAGGGCGGCGGCTGGCAGCAGGCACAGGGGGGTTGACTGTGAGGCACCGGCGCGGGGTTCGGCGACCGAGGCCCCACCCAACACCCCAGAGTCTCGGGGCGCCCCCGCCGAGGCGCTGTCCCACCTCCAACAGCCCCAGAGGCGCGCCCCCTCCCCCACTCTGGGCGGCGACCTCAGCGCCTCCGCCCAGGGGCCCCCGCTCACCCAGGTAGCGGCTCCGCAGCCGGGACGGGTCCTCCAGCCCGAGGGACCTTTTCCTCACGTCCCACAACAGGTGTGGGCAGGACCCACCCCGAGACATGGCTCTGCCTGAGCCGGGTGGGAGGGGAGACCACCGCGTGGGGGAGGGGAGAAGGGGGAGGGGACACCCGGATCAACACCCGAGCCGCACCGGCACCATCCGCGCGCCGGGCCTCCAGGGCGCAGCGTTAGATGGCGGTAGCAGCGGCGGCGCCTGGGCCCCCGAAGCCCGGCCGCACCCGGGCCGGAGCTCGCCTCATACTCTCCTTCTCAGACTAACCAGAACATCCAAAGATCAGCAACAGTCTCCTCCCTCAGCCACCCTCCAACAGGAGGAGGAGGAGGAGGAGGCGGAGGCGGAGGCGGAGGCGATGGCGACTCCTCCCTCTCCTCGTCCTGGACTCCCTCCCCGCCAAGGCTTTCTCGCGAGATGACGACCACCCTGGGGACTGAGGCCAGTGCGCGCCGCGGGTGCCCTCACCCTGGAAGCGTGCATTTAGGCCATTCTAGCTAGATCCTTAAGTCGCTAGGGATAAAACAGGAGTAGAGCGAGAAGAGACTCAGGTTTGTTGTCTTTCGCTCACGAGTCTCCAGTCAAAAGAAGCGAGAGAATTGTACGGGATCGTCTTTAGTTGAGGCACGGAAGGCCTGAAAAGCCCATTTTAACTACGGGCCTGCTTAATCAAAGTGAAGGGGCAAGAGAGCCGGTGCAGCTTCACTTTCCCTTCTCCAACATGGCCTACGAGGGCAGGGAGGAGAAGGAGGAGTTTCCCTCTCGGCTCCGCCCGCACCTCGGGGCGGGCCAATCCTGGCGCGCAGCTCGGCCTGCGCAAGCGCGCTGACAGCAGGGCGCTGGGTGGATTCGGTGAGGTGATCATTTTGGCACCTGTTGCCAAGGCTCCTCCTCCCTCTCTCCTGCGGTGGGCCGGAGGCGGGCCCGGGGCGGGCCATCGACAGCCCCCGCCCCCTCACCCTTCCTGGGGTGCGGGCCGCGGCTTGTAGGTTCATTGCTGGGCGGGGAGAGCCGCGGGAAGGGCACTCCAGGCACGAGGGGGACGCGAGGCGCTGTGGCAAGAAAAAGTGACTAGCTGCCCTTCGTTGTCAGCCAGGGACGAGAACACAGCCACGCTCCCACCCGGCTGCCCACGGTCCCTCGGCGGCGATGTCGGCCGCCGGTGCCCGAGGCCTGCGGGCCACCTACCACCGGCTCCTCGATAAAGTGGAGCTGATGCTTCCGGAGAAACTGAGGCCGTTGTATAACCATCCAGCAGGTAATGGACCCGGAATGGCTTCTTATCGAGACCTTCCTTCCCCCTTCCTCTAAAATGGACCTTTTAGAGGCCGGCTAACAACTGCCACTAGAGGCATTCCACAGCCCCAACCCCTTCCCTTCAAGGGAAGCCGTCTACACTCTCCTGACCTCCCGCAATTCACCTCTCCTACAACATCTGTTCCTAAGCCAACGAATCTCAAGTCAATGCCCTTCCCGACCTATATGGCATCCTCTCCCTTACGCACGACTGCAACCCAAACCTGGTCTCCAAATGTGAGCCTTCTCTACTTCTGCTGCCACCAGAGGGTCTGGGGCCACCATGAAACTCTTCTCTTTCTCGTCGCGAATTGTGGCATATTAACCCACACGAGGCAGAGCTGGATGGATGGCTTGTTGCACTGGAGGGTTTGGAGTAAAGGTCACACTTTATTCAGCTTCTGCTGGCAGAGGCCTGCAGACTGAGCCCTCCCCCAAACTGCATGCTTTATTTCACCCAGGCTTGAGTCAGTGTCATTTTTCATCCCATAGGTCCAGTGTGTTCCTTTAAGTCTATTCTTATGTATGAAATTGTTGAACAAGCGCTACCCAGAGCTTTTTGTGTGTGTGGAAAGACCTGGATATCATTCTCTTCTACCACTTATTAGAGTTGTGACCTTGAGCAAAAGCCTAGATCTCCGTTTCTGTAAATGTGTAACACACGTGCTTGACTTTTTGTAAATGCTCAGTAAATGTTAGTTCTCTCTTGGCCTACTGGAAAACTGTGTTCTTTTGGCGGGGAGGGGAAGCTACTCTGTAAGAAATGGAAAGATTCCAATCCCTTTTTAAATATCTAGAATTCTGTTACCTCTTTTATAAAGTGGGTTGTAGTAATATTTATCTGGCTAGAGGCTAACATCAGATATATTCTAAGGTTTCTTTCAAGCCTAAGACTTGGCAAACTAGAAAATGTGTTGTGAATTGAAAGACTGAGTGCTACCCAAAAAGCGACTTTTCTCCTACATAGTTAAAATCTGTATTCTGCAGTTGGTATCAGTAGGAAGGTTGTCTGTTTCCCTCGTTATCTGATTATGATACAGCTCTCTGCAGAGTGAACTGGTTACTAAATATGATCTCCAGTTTGATAATGGAATGAATTTAACATCTGGATTATACTTTAACCCTTAATATTATTTACTGCAATATTGAACCCCTTATAAAACTGATCATTAAGGAGTTTGCTATTGATTTTAAAAGTTTTTGTTTATTTGCCTTTTAGTTCTTTTAACATTCGATTTTTTTTCAGAATTATGCTGTTTTGTGGCAAAGATTTTCAGGAAGGAGGGTTGAGCTATGCTTCTGTAATGATCTGGGCTTTACTGAGTCAACTGAACTTTGTCACCTCTGACCCTCATAAGCTTTGTGTTTGGGGTGGAGGATAAGGGCATGGCAGAGTAAGAGTAATTTTAAACTACTTAAAATAATATAAAATTGAAGGGTAGTCTTATCTGAATCTTTTCCAAGGCTTTAGTTTTTAGCCACCTGTAATTACTGCTTAAAATACTAGTCAGTTTTCAGAATGAAAAGGGATTACCTTTCACTTGTAGGATGTGCATTTCATCTGAAAATCTTTGCATTCATTCAGTTATTTAAACCACCTTTTTCAGTGTAGTAAAAGGAGCTAAGCTTTGAAGGGAGATAGACCTATGTTTCAGTCTTGGCTGTGTGACCTTGTCCCTAAATTCCTGCCTTAGTTATCTCATCTATAAAATGGGCGTAATTATCATCATTTAAGGATTGTTGTGACAATTAGATGATCTAATGTCTCCAAAACATGTAGCACAGTGTTTGCACGTCAATTCTCAATAACTGTCAGTTCTAAGATTTGAACAATATACAGAGTAAGGATGTCTATTACAGCAATATTATTTCTAATTGACAAGTTGGAGGTACACCAGTGTAGAGATGGAGAAGCTTGAAAACTACATTGACTGATGAGTATTGAATGAAATCTGAGGAAACACTGATTATTGTCCTAAGAGTTATCCAGAGTAAATATTCAAGGATTTTGCATACTATTTTGCCTAACAGTATTTGTTATTGAATTACCATTGAAACATTTGTCTAGATTCATATACAAGGAGTTTATTAAATGATATGAAATGCTAGAATATTAACAGTTGGAAATCATACATTGCTGATTCTAAATTTTTGAGATTTAATTTTATCACTGACACTATATGTCTCAACAGGTAACAAAGATGTGCTTTTAGGTATAGATACATATTTTAGTTACAATATTGCATCTCTGACCTGTGACCCAGAATTTTTAGGCTCTCATTATCCATTTACCTGTGTGTTGTTTCTGGCATGTCATGATCTGCCTCTGTAGAGAAGGAATAGCATTCTAGCCAAATGTGTGTGCTGGTCAAGTTCTTCAACTCAAAAAGAATGGCACTCCGCTCATTATCCCCCACCTGACTATAAAAGTATGTGCCAGCTGCATAGCTGTACTCCAGTATTTGTCAAAGAAATAACCTTGAAGTTATGTTGCCCAGTGTTTTCCTTTTTCTTTTCTTTTCTCTTTTTTTTTTTTTTTTTTGAGACGGAGTGTCGCTTGTTGCTGAGGTTGGAGTGCAGTGTCGCGATCTGGGCTGACTGCAACCTCCGTCTCCCGTGTTCAAGCAATTCTCCTGCCTCAGCCTCCTGAGCAGTTGGGATTACTGGTGCATGCCACCGTACCCAGCTAATTTTTGTATTTTTAGTAGAGACGGGGTTTCCCCCATGTTGGTCAGGCTGATCTCAAACTCCTGACCTCACGTGATCAGCCCAGCTCGGCTTCCCAAAGTGCTGGGATTACAGGAGTGCGCAACTGTGCCCGCCCCCAGTGTTTTCTTAAAAGATTAGTTAAAGAAAATTCATCGGTGGAGAAGTGTCATTTATTTGTACTTGTGAGTTCCAGATGGGGCAAGTCACCCCAAGAGGTGCACACAATGAAACATTGGAATGTAGGAAGAAAATAATAGAACTTCTATTAACGCTCACTGTTATTTCATCCATTTAAATTTTTCATTGTATGTATATTTTGTAATGCAAAAATATATTAGTGTAGTAATTCTATATAATTTATAGATATATAAATGATTTATAAAGAGGATGTATGCTCAAATTGTTTTTTACTGATGCAGCATACATTCAAAAGGAGCTGGAAGACCACAGCTCTAAAGATTCTAAAAACAATCCTTTGGTGAAGTTAGTTCCCAAACAGCTATCTGAACCATATCATTTTAACTCATGGTAGCTCTCCTTTTATTGAATTACATTTTGGCTTAAGTGGAAGAGATTTGAAAAAATCGTTCTGTGAAACTTGTTGCAGTGCTTAGTGTGCTGGTGCTGAGAATATCATTCTCAGCATTACATGGGTTCCCTCTGAAGACTCAGGGGAAAAGTTACTTTAAAGTCTACATGAGAAGAATAGTTGCCTTTTTCCTAGATAAGAGAATTAGCTTGTTTAATTTTTAAAACCTCAAGGATATTTCTTTTTAAATAAAAATAAACTAAATGAAGCAACGTTAGCAGTGTTTACTAGGGAATATCTGTATCATAAAAATTTTAAATTCAATGCTAAGATAATTGATGTTATGATAGATAAATACAACTTAGTTCTAATATGTATTGTTTTATTATATGTAAATAAAATCAAATACTGGGGCCAGGCACAGTAGCTCATGCCTATAATCTCAGCACTTTGGGAGGCCAAGGTGGACAGATCACAAGGTCAGGGGATCAAGACCATCCTGGCTAACACAGTGAAATCCCATCTCTACTAAATATACAAAAAATAAGCCGGGTATGGTGGTGTGTGCCTGTAGTCCCAGCTACTCGGGAGGCTGAGGCAGGAGAATCAATTGAACTTGGGAGGCAGAGGTTGCAGTGAGCCAAGATGGCACCACTGCATTCCAGCCTGAGCGACAGAGCGAGACTCCCATCTCAAAAAAAAAAGAAAATGTGGATCAAATAATCAGTGTACATATCTACATAGTTTGAATTACACAGTTCTTTAGCATCTCTTTTAGAACTTACTTTCTTGCCACAGATTGTCAGTGAAGAAACTTAATGACAGTCTAAGATATTAATATATGTCGATATATATTCTTAAGTGTATATTTAATATATTATGGTTAAATATATGCACTCAATATATATTTTTTAAGTAATAACTTATTACTTTAAAGTTAAGAGATAAAAACTACAATAGATGTAAAAATGGAATTTCAAATACAATTATAAAATACTGGTGAAAAATAGAATATCTTCAAACAATCAGCCAGCAAGAAAGTTGAATTATTCAATATTTTTTGAGGGCCTATTGTGTATTAGACACTTTTCTGGCACTCAGGATATAAATCAGGATAAAATAACAAAACCCACCCACACAGAGATTGTATTCTCAGAAGAGTTCATCAAAGGAATATCAGCCAGTCATAGTGACTCACTCCTGTAATCCCAGCACTTTGGGAGGCCAAGGTGGATGGATCACCTGAGGTCAGGAGTTCAAGAGCAGCCTGGGCAACATGGGAAAACCCTGTCTCTACTAAAAATACAAAAATTAGCTGGACATGGTGGTGCACACCTGTAATCCCAGCTACTCAGGAGGCTGAGGTGGGAGAATTGCTTGAACCCAGGAGGTGGAGGTTGCAGTGAGCTGAGATTTTGCCACTGCACTCCAGCCTGGGCGACAGAGAGGAATATCATCCTTGATGTAGTTGTTCAACACTTAACATACTTTTTGTGTGCTATCCTGCTTTTAACTAATTTTAATAAATTAGAACTGTTTATGCCTCCCCTAACTAGATTCATCAGATGTGCTAAAGGAGAAGAAAGCCCTAAGAAAAGCTATAAATAGTTTATTATTTCCAGGTCATGTAAAATATTAATTTTGCTTATAACAGAGTATGAAATATGTTTAAAGACCAGTATGATATAGTAGAAAGAGGACTAGGATCAAAGAAGCTTGTGTTC